ATAGATAGATAGATAGATAGATAGATAGATAGATAGATAGATAGATATTCTTTTTACCCTTGATCTCTAGTATTAAAAGTTTTATTTTCCTTGCCTGCTGTTTTTCCTTCTCCAGGTTTTTTAAAGAGTATTATTCATATAGTAATAATTTTTACAATCTTGCAACCATTTGTTACCATTTCTCTTGCATCTTTATGCAGAACTGCCTTGTCCATTTATCATTCCTGTCAAATAAACTAGGAAAAATAAAAAAAATCTCACTCTTCTCTTATTGTTCCCTTCTGTGAGTGCTTAAAGAAGAAAGTAAGATACAGCCACAGTCTTACATAATTTACAACCGACCAGAGGTAAGAAAAGATGAGCATTTTGGATTAAACATTAATTGTTGTGTGTGCACGTAACTGGTTTCCTAATCTGTTGTAAATAACTCTGTTGACCAACATGCTATCACAGGCTGAGCCTGTTTGACTCAAACTGAACAATGCTGCCACCTACTGCTAGAGACCCTTGCAGTTGTCTTTGCCCCTGGGCAACAATTGTAGATCAAATCTTAGCCCAGAATTTAATTACCATTTAGGGAATCGTGATCAGTCTGGCATTTTGTCGATGAAGAACAGCCACTAAATTGGAACTCTCCTTTTATGGCACACTTTTATTACTGTTTCTTTGAACTCAGCTATATTGCAGCAGCTGGAAAATACTTCAGGCTGTACTCCTCTGAGATAAATCTAAACTCTATTCACAACTGCACATGTGACGATAAACAAGTCCTGCCTGAGTTCACACCGGATTAGAATTATCCACTAGATGTCAGTGCATACTGGGAGAGAACCTTTATGAGTCCTGGAAATCGGTTGAGAGGATCGTGAACATTTTGTGAAAGATACAATCACACTGCATATCATTAGTTTATTAAGGCACATGTTTCTTCAGATTTTTTTCACTTTAGAAAAAATAGCTGTTGTCAGTCTATTCCAGTCAGCATCTTTAGTGTCAGAATTCTCACATGCATGCCTATTCACTGTCGGGGTGTAACTGGGGCAAAATATATGCCAATGATGACAGTTTTTCTTTAAACAATACAAAAATCTTTTGTATAACAAAGGCCTGTCTATTCAATCTCATTACATTTATTCAAAAAAGAAGAAAACAGACAGGTTTCTTGGTCACCAGATTTCAAAGGATACAGCACATAAGGTCTCCAACTTTACAGGTCTGTGTTTGACATATACTGCAAAGTAAATTAAAAGATTCAAAATAGCTGAGGAGAGTAAGTTGACCTTTGCACATTTGCTTAAAATAAACTAATCATTATATTCTCAATCTAAGGGGAAATGCATCCACTTCTGTCACAGGGCAAAAAACTGATTTGTGTTCAGGTACACTGCTGCTGTTACATTGTAAACTGAAGCCTACAATCTTTAATGGCAGCTTGTTTGGCTAGTGTTATATAGTACAAAACTACTGGATATGCAATGTTAACACAGGCTAATGCAAACTGATTTATTTGATACATGATCAGCAGGGGGCCTGAGCTGTGGCTGCTTAATGAAACAGCAACTCAGGGTGCATGAATACATGCGTGCACAAACACAGAGACAGGAAAACAAACTGCAGCTTACAAACAGACAAGCATCGCACACATAGTCCCTGCACAAAATGTCCCCCCCGTGCACGACATGGGCAGTAGCCACGCGTCAGGCCGCTCTCTGGCCGGGTGGTGGCGCTCTCGCCGTGTGCGCGCGAACAGGTGCCGTCTGGCTATTTAACCGCGGGGTCGGTGGCTTCAGTCCGCTCCGAAACCGGCAACGCAGCAGACGGAATCTCCAGTAATGCTATGCCAAAGAGGTTCTCTAAACTCCACAGGGACGGTATCTGATCTGGTCCAACTCGCCGGAACCTTCTCACCTTCACTCCTCACTTGATGAGAATTTTCTGCGGGATCCAGCCTCTCCCTCCGCCTCAGCCTTCCACGTCCCCTCACGCTGAAAGTTTGATTCCGCAAAAGTAGAGATGAACAGCACGGGGTTCAACCAGACTGAGGGCGGACTATACAACAAGACGGAGGAGTTATTTTGCTGCAACTTTTCATCCGTGGTGACCGATAACGGCTTCGTGGCCGCCTCTCCGGATGAGAGGAGCCTCTTTATCATGAGGGTGGTCCAGATCGCGGTCATGTGCGTTTTGTCCCTCACCGTGGTGTTTGGCATCTTCTTCTTGGGCTGCAACCTTCTCATAAAGTCGGAGGGGATGATCAACTTTTTGGTGACGGACAGGAGACCGTCTAAAGAAACGGAGGCTGTGATTGTGGGAGCCTACTGATGGATGAGGTCACGTCCACGGCTGCGTCCGAGCGCGGCCCCGTCTCCGTGTCTGTACTGTTCACCAAATACACTCAAGGATCCGTGCCCGTGCGAGGGGTATAGCTGGATTCCACCGGTGAATAAGGTCCACAGGTGTTCTCCTTCTTTCTTGTGGCCTTTTTTTATGCCAACAAATTCGTCTCAAAGAGGTATAGTGTGTTAAAAAGCCTCTTTCTTAAGTATTCAGCCGCGCACTGTTGTGGTGGAAGTGTTTGTCAAGCAGCATCCTCTGTCAGGGTGGCTGCTTCAAAATGTTCTCACTCACTGCAAACGCAACGAAGACGTACATGTTTTATAACTGCCATGTGTTGTATGTTTTGCCATACAACAGGCAATAAATTCTCTATTTAGTGGATAACCGGGTAACCTAATGACTGTACAGCGTGTCGTGTATCTTGTTAATTTGAAATACGTTCATTCTGTTATTAAAGTGTTTGCCTCCTATAAGTGAAATGAATTTTTCTGTCACATTTTATTTATTTTTCGAACTGAATGCTTTAAAGGAAATTAACAATAAAAAATAATAATAACAAAATTCACTTTAAATTATGAATTATCGAATAGAAATGGACACAAGGACGTTATATTTAGAGGCATAGAAGCAATAATGCTTGGCTTTTCATGCTGTTATTTTCCAACATTTGCATATAATAACAATAAACGTTCATTATTTTATCCTAAATTAGAAACATTTTCTGGTCTTACCAGAAAAATAACATCCCAATGTCAGTGGGCGCTCTCAGACCAAGTCAGATTTTGTTCCATGCAGACTTTCATGTCCTATCTCCTTCTGTCAAAACATCTGTCTCGCCCTGCCTGAGATTCACCTGGCTGCCAGCTCCCCAGGAGCTTCAGAACCTACTTGTCTTGTCAGAGCAGGGAGGATGAGGCCATTGGGCAATTTACTGCTGCCTCATTGCCCACCTGTTCACCAGACAGAGTTATGCCTACTGTTTGTGTCCTGTTTGAAAAGGTCTGAATCTGTCCCATGAAGGACTTCAAACAGCTTGTTGAGACCGAAACAGCGACCACTTTTCACACTGCATGCCATCATAATCGTGTATGTAGTTGCAATGCAATCAATCTTCTGAGGGATCTCTAAAAATTATATTATGTAAAAAAAATGTTAAACATTTAAAAAGGTTTAAGATGAATAAAACATTCAAATCCACACGTTCACATGTGGGGCTTTGGGTTAGATCTATTGTTTCAGTTGAGTAATATTTATGTGATACTGCTCAGAGAAAAATTATATAACCTGTTGCAAGAGCCAGACATGTTTAGTGCACTGAGCCCATGAAGCTTTTTACGTCGGTTCAAGAAAAATGTTTATTCAAATTGATTTCAATACATAAAAAAGAAACCCACAGATGAAAAGAGATTGCCAAAACCAGACGGTGCACAGATGCACAACAATTACACACAGCTCTATTGTATTTTCCAGCTCTTTTTCAAATATCAGGAAGAAACTATAGTACTGACCGGGACTGTGGAAGGAAAGAGAGATCTCTGAGAGATTCTGTTTAAAAAAAAAACTTTAAATTATTTTTCTTATATTCAAAAGTTGTACCTGTATTTCTTATTACACAATTACAGTTCAATTTAGAACACTATATTTGTATTATTTACAATCCAGGCAGAAACCTGCATATTTAACACAAACAAAAACAATGACAACTTACATTTAGGAATTATAGATTCTAACTAAAGAAATTAAAATACTAGTGTCAGGAGTAGATTCAGTAGGCATCCAGTGGAATCTGTTAAATATTTCAGATTATTTACTTAAAGTATAACTGACTCATATGAATGTTATTTTCAAGAGGCACATAGAATAACAGGTCAATGCAGCCAGCAGGTCTTTACTTAACACCAAGTGTTTCTGTCTGTTACGTGTGATTGCTTTCATTAAGGAGAGCTGCAAATCGCTCACAGGAAGATATTGTGGCTGTTAAATATCCAGCAGAGGACAATCATCCGTCTGCAGCAGACCCATTGTTAATTTATCCAGCTGTGCCTTGTGCACATGTAGTCAGACTGGATTTTAGTTGACTTCGAGGGGCCTGAAAAATGTGGATGTAGAAATAGAGACAGGGAGTGGAAAACTAGCTTGATCCTGATAATATTTGTGAATTATTTTAGATTGGACTCTCCTATAAGGGTAGCTGGGTAGACAGGTCATGTTCCATCTCAAAGATTTTACATACCCCTACTATAAGAAATTTGAGAAAGACTAGTAGCGGCTATCTCTGTCCAATTATATTTGAAAAAACTTGATAGTCCTTTGCAAAGATTATGAGCTATTCCTCCAGGAAAGTATCCTGAGTTTTACCCTGCACAAACTAAGCCATTAAAAATACATGGCTCTGATATATTTTGCCTTGCGTTACAGTGTGTTCTTGCATTTCTTCCCCTAGGCAGGAAGTGTTATGGGTCAAAAGAGGGGGACAAAAATCACTGTTAACATTTTCATCATGTACCAGCAGCCGGGTAAGAAGAGCTTACAGTATATCAGCTGTGTAGCAGTGGGCAATATGGCATCAGCTCACTTTATCCCATGTGGACTGTAAGTGGACTGCGCTCAACCGTGACAGCATCTGCAGGGTGTTGATTGTGGGCTAAAACAGGCTTCGGGTCCTGACTTCCTCACATGTGATTGGCTGGTGAACAAAAGTCCAGTCGATGAACTGGATAGCGGCTAAAAGCTCCAAATAGCGGTGAGGCAACCGCAGTCTTTCCCATGCTCATGTCTCAGCCTCCTGGGCTCATCTCGTCTTTGTGGTAGGAAATATAAATCTGTTGTGATGTATGAATTTCCTTATTTAAAAAACAGTTAGATTATTTCGGCCTGAAGTCAACAGTGGTGAAGAATTTTCACCCCACATCTGCTGAGACCGAATGTTTTTAAAAGGGATGGCAGAGAGTGATGCAATTACTTTTCCTGAGCAGTAATATGTAGTCAACCTGATTCAGCTGCTGTCACTGTAACATGGGATCGGGATTCTAAAAGAACAGCAGCAAGAGTGGAAGTCAAGCTGTGATAAGTCCATGCAAACTGGTTTTGAAGAATGATTTCATTACTATGTAGCTTCCATTCCAGTTATGGGATGACTCATGCCTCTGTTGTACTGCTGATTGTTTCACACTGAAACATCACAAGGATTTAACATCACAACAATTCTGCCTCTAACGCTTTGCTGTAATCCAGTCTTTGTATGTGTGTATTTGTCTGTGTGTGAGTGTGTATGTGTGTGCTTATATTAGTAACATAGTGTGAGAAAAAAAAAATCTGTTTCCTTTCATGCAGCCAAGGAGACTCAAAATGGTCAGGAAAGCTCATCTCAAATGCGGATATAATTTCATGGGCTTGGGAGCACTTATGAACACCACTGTCAACTAATAAAAACACTTATTATCACAGTCACAAATGAAAGTTGAAACACCCCTCATGAATAGACAAAGCAAGAAGCAATGCAGCCAAATTCCCTGGCCCTCCGCTCATGTATGATGGACTGAAGTCCATCCATCCATTTTCTGTGCTCATTAGATATAATTCAGTCACAGGAATGCTGCTGGCAGGATAGGCTACTGGTCCATCACAGAGCTAACACAGAGGAAAACAACATGCACAGTTTTTTGATGGTGAGAGAAAGCTGGACAGAACCCACATGTGCATAGGGAGGACATCCAAGCTTCTCACAACAACACTCCTGCTGGGATCTGAACCAGGGACTTTCTTGTTATGAAACAACAGTGCTAACCACCTTATGGGCCTGATCAATAAAATTTTAACACTCCGCCAGAAGCTGTGGATGCTGCATCGTCTTAAAGATGAGAGACACCATCTGGCTTGGTGTTCCAAGCAAACACTTGTGATAATATGGGGCCTTATGAGACTTGGCACATCATTGATAGTATTGTTTGTACTTTATCACATGTGCAAGTTTGGGGCAAGATATGTACCATAAAAATGAAGGAAAGTTCATGGGTTCACAGTCTTCATTTTTCCAAACAACAGCAAAGCATATCTCATAAGAAAACTGTTGGGTGTTGTCACTGAATTAGATATTAAGTCTGATTCTGCTGCCGTGATTTATACATAGCTGTCAACACAACAAATATGACAAGGCAGAAGTGTTAACTTGCTTATCTTTTAATGGTCAGAATAACAAATTTATCAAACATGATTTTTTTTAAGACTACAGGATGGACCAAGAGTGCATTCAAAGTAAATAAAAAAATACCCCTAAGAATCAAATCAAATAAAAGAAATGCAGAAAATATTGTACCCCCAAAATTCTATAGGGGAATTTGCACAAGCTGTTGTGTATCCTGAGACTTTGAGTGCATCTAATTGAATCTCAGTAAAGGCAGCTTGCTTTATTCTCTATGTGGAGCTCTGGCCACAAACATAAAACATTAAAAATAGAAAAGAAAAAACTGAGTAGATTTTTTTTTTTATTCCTGACAGAAAGTAGACCATGTACAGCCAGTAACATACAGATATCAGGCAACTCTCAAACAAAGACGAGGCCTGACGCTACAGAATACCTTGTAAAGTGAAATCCCTGGGGATGATAAGTCCTACCAAACACGTTTTGGAATAATGAAAACCAAAAAACCAAATGCAGAAGTAAACTAAATGCAAATTAAATCAAATTACACCACAATAAACTGACAAATAGATAATAGCAGAACATGGTATATCAGTTCAAAGAATGGGACATAATACAAATCCAACACAACAAATTCATAGAAGATAGATATTACAGGGAGACATCAGGACTTTATTATCCTCCACCCTCATGAAATGCATAATAAGTACCTATTCCTTTGCAATAATTACTGTGATTATGAGTTACTGACCCTGCAATCCATTTCAGTTCTTGTGCAAGTGTGTTTCAGGGTTTATTGACCTTCTAATCATATCACTCTCTACCACATCATCCTCTCAACAGC